TTATTAACTTACTGGCAAAAAAAGAATGCTGTATATGGGTGTTAAGATTTAGACAGGCATATACTTGGGGGTTAGTCCACGGTGAGGATTGTACCAGAATTAAAATTAAGCAAAATTAAGTTCCTGTTGCCAGGTACTGTGTGTTTTAAGTCATAGACAGCCTAGCTGTGGCAAACACAGCAATAAAGATAAATCCATCGTTCTTATTAACCATCCACTGTGTCTCATACACTTCACTAGTAATAGTAGGGCAAGGATTCTTATTCTGAATTTTAAAAAATATTTTGAGGAATGCATTTCAATAGAATTAGTTTCCTTTCTAATTCCATGGATTTTATTTTATGAATTTAAAAACATTCAGAAAAGAGGTCTATAGCCTTTTCCAGACTGCCAAGGGGCCCGTGATTCAGAAAAGGTTAGGGACTCCTGCAGGAGGGGATACATCAAATGTAAAGGATATGGTCCTGCCTTAGAAAACTTAAAGTCTAGTTGGGGAGGCAAGACATATATGTATGAAAAGATGAAGCTTTAGAGTAGAAGATAGTCCAGAGTCCAGGGGTGAGGAATCCAAAAGGATTTGGGTTCAGTCAAAAGGATGCACTTAAGGATGTAGAAGGCCACATGTGGCCTCAAGGCCGCAGGTTCCCCACCCCTGGTCCAAACAAATAAAGGCTATTGGAGATCAAGGAAGAGATTAATGCACTCAAAAATTTTTGGCTTCAAAAAGGAGGTGAGGTTTGGACTTGACCTTAAAGGACAGGGAACATCTCATTAGAAGTAGAGGAATGTGGGGAAAATTTCAGAAAGCAGTGACCTTGTGAACAGGAACACAGAAGTGGAGCTACAGTCTATTTGGAGGGACAGTTGAATTCAGTCCCACCCTGTTTGTTCTGTGCCCAGCGGTGTTGTGAGTAGACCAGTCTAGCTGGATGAGGGGGTTCATGTAGAGGCAGGTAAAAGAGAAAGCTGGGAAGGTAGGTTGAGGCTAGATTTGCAGAGGGGAAGGAGTGGTGTATTGAATAACAGGCAAGATTCCCATTGCTGCCACCCTTCAGGTACAGGCATTCACTGCTATTTTACTAAATTTATATAAGAAAGAAACATTTTTTGACAGGGACAATGCAAGAATTCATTTTGCTTGGCTATTCACATTTGTTACAAGGATTTTTTCTTTTTTTTAATGGAGTGAGAAGACAGATTTTTTTTTGTTAACTTAAAAAAAATTTAATCTTAAAAATGAACTTTTTTTTTTAATAGCTTCCTAATAGGTCTTCCTAGATCCACTGTCTCTTTCTCTAGTTCACCCTTTATAGTATGACCAGAGTAGTCTTCCTCAACCAGTGACCTGGTCATATCAACTTCAGTGCTACTTCATATGATACCTACTTCATAAAGCCTTCCCTGATTCCTCTCGTCAGTAACTTTTTCACCCGTAAACCTTACATAACACTTTACTTTCCTCTCCCTAACATACATACGTGTTGCATGTGTTATTTTCATCTACTAGGGGAAGGGGAATGGAAGGGAATGATCATTTCTATAGTGCCTACTGTGTGCCAGGCACTTCTTACAAAGATTATCTCATTGAACCCTCACAGGAACTGGTGCTATTGTTATCCACACTTTACAGTTGAAGAAATGAAGGCAAACCGAGGCCAAGTGCCCAAGGTCACACTGCTACCAAGTGCAGAAAGTGTCCAAAGCTGGACTTGAATTCAGGTCTTCCTGACTCCAGGCCCAGAGCCTAGAATCCATTGCTTCACCAGCTCCTTCACAAGGACAGGAACCCTGTCATTTTTAAACTTGGTATCTCTCTTTGCCAGCACAAAGCTCTTCACGTAGTAATAATTTAATTAATTAATTCAGCAAATATTTGTTGAGGGCTTACTATATATATATAGCAAGCACTGGAAATAGAAGGAGAAAAGTGAGATAGTTCTGCCCTCAAGGAGCTTACATTCTATGAAGGAAACAGAATGTGTTCATATAAGTAAATACAAAGTAAATAATTTCCCAAGAGGAACTAGCATGAGGAGATGAGGGAGGGCATCAGGAAAGGTCTCATATAAGAGATAGCATTGAGGCTGACTTTTAAAGAAAGCTAGGGAATTAATTCTAAGAGTCTGAGTTAGGAAGTACATTCCAGGTGTGGGACAGAGTGTGCAAACACACAGAGACTGAGGTGGATTGTTATTTATGAGGAACAGGGAGGCCATTTTGGTTTGACTGTAAAGTATGAAGGGGAATAATGTGGACTAAACCTGGTAAGTTAGGCTAGAGTCAGATCATGAAGTGCTTTAAATACCAGACAGCAAAATATGATTTTACTCTGCAGGTATCAGGAAGCAATTGAAGTTTTTGAGCAGGGGAGGAAAAGCTCAGAAGGAGCAGAAGCAAGCTTCTATCCTACTGTCTACTCTATTGAATTCAATTAAATAAGTACAGTTATGAGTTAAATTATTTGGCTACCTTTAGAAATAAAAATCCAAGAGCACAGCAGTTGTGTCTCTTTAATGGAGTTTATTAACACTTTCATCCTACTGCATTTTTCCCCTGGAAGGTCAAAGTACTTTATACTAGAGGTATAGGAGTATATCTACTATCTACTATCTATATCTAGTAGATATCTAATACATATATATATATATATATGTGTGTATCTTAGTATATCTAATATCTACTAGGGGTAGATATTACTGCCTTCTTTGTTTTACAGATGAGAAAACGAAAATAACTTGGTGAACTTACACTGGAGCAGTGTCAACTCATGTCTCCTAAATCTCAGTTTGGTTCCTCAGGTCCCATAATTATAACATGACCCCCTTTATATTGGTAGTGAGAGGTCACTTAAAAATAGAGTGTATTACCAGGCATCCACATATTGTAAACTGTCATGTAGGAAATTTAGGACTGATATGTGGCAGATCAACACTTTTAATCCTAATCACCTGATTACAAAACCATCTTTAACCTGAACAGAGACTTTCCCATAAGATAGCACAGTATAATTTATGAAATTCATCACTCTGGAAAGCCCAGGCCAGAACAGCACTAGGCTTGAGATGGCCCTGAGTACTAAGGAAAGGGCAGTCACTTGCTTTAAGCAGTCCTGGGGCTATTTATTTGCAAATCTCATTTCTTTTCAACAAAGTTAGATAAAACAACAAAACTCTGCAGATGTCATATTTTTCACTGAAGATGAGCTTAAAGGCCTTGAGCTAAGAGTAACAGTAAATTAAAACCAATCCAAATGGAGAGAATTAAAACCCAGATAGTAATCCCGGCTTTCCTTTTTTCTCTATGACCTGGAACACGTGGCTTCATCTCTGTAGTCCTCAGTGTTCTCATATATAAAATGAGAGAGACCCTACTTCTAATGAAGCTAGCTATTAGTATCAGATCATTTCCTTTAATTATCCTTATTCCCATCTAGCCAGTTTTACTGAAATGTTCATGATGTTACTGAAGTGACCACTGGCAGGCCTCTTCCTGACCATAGTTCTTACCCCCTCATCTCATGAATCAGGTAACAGGATTTTCGCTCCTGCCCCCTCTCCTGAGGACTTTGGGAGTTGGGGACTGTGAAGGTGACTGTACTTTGTTGATCATGCCATCTATGTAGTGATAATGGGGCTTCAGTAGCCTGCCTTGAATGGAGGCTTGTTCTGTACAGAGGTCAGACAGCCCGGATCGACGCTGCCCTCGGCACAACTACGGTCATTGTTGCAATTAAAGGCCATATGGACCACCTGGCTCAGGTTCTCCCACATCGGTAACAGGACCAAACTCTAGATGAATTGTAATAATAATAGGTCACATTTATATAGTACCCACTATGTGCCAAATACTGCACTAAGTGCTTTACACACACTATCTCATTCAATCCTCACAACTTTGGAAGTAGGTACTACTATTATTCCCATTTTACAGGTGAGGAAACTGAGGCAAACAGAGGTTAAAGTGTCTTGCCCAAGGTTTTCCTAACTACAGACCTGGCACTGTGAGACTGGTCATCCACACCATCTAATACGATCTCTAAAGGTGACACCATGACACAAGGCTGCTGCATTCCAAAATCCCGATCTTAAAAGATTTAGGGTCTTACCGTTATCCTTGACATGCTTCTGGACTCATTCTGGACTCTGTTTTGAGCCACCTACATTTCTAGCATGGAGCTAGAAAAAGGATGGCTTACTCTAGCAAAGTAGAACAGAAGAAATGCTATCAAGCCAAGGGGAAATTGAGGCATTTCATCAGGAAATACTTTGACAGTAAGTACTATTAGTTTGAGGAAGTCTCCTAAAGGAAGGGGAGGACAAATTGCCAGTGTATTTATCACACTACTAATGGTATGCCTTTCTGTACTGTCAGGAGATGCCTAAAAGAGCCTTTCCTCCTTTTTGTATTTTCTGTGATTCCTCATCTAAGGGCAGTCCGTAAGATACTTAACCCAACATTACTATCAACAATAGAACCAAAAGGAAAGTGTTGGTTTTGTTTCCTTTTTTTTTTTTTTTAAACAAAAATATAATTCAGTTAGAGAAATGGGTCTAGAGTAGGGGTGGGGAACCTTCGGCCTCGAGGCCATATGTTGCCCTTAGGGCCACACTTGAGGACCTAGAGGGCCACGTGTGGCCTTGGGCTGCAAGTTCCCCAACCCTGCTCTAGAGTCAGGAAGATTGAGTTCAAATGTGACCTCATACACTTACTATGTGACCTGGGCAAGTCATACTCTGTTTGCTTCAGTTTCTTTGTTTCAAGGACCAAATGAAATATTTTTAAAGCACTGGATCTGGCACACAGTAGGTGCTATATATGTGTTTATAAAGTTTACTTAGTTACTTCATTTACCATAAATCTTTCTATTTTAACTTGTGAATTTTTTTCTTCCATTTGAGTGGCAGAAGGTCAGTTATCATACAGAGGACCTCAAGCTGTGTCTGCCTCTTTGAGAGCAAAATATACAGGCCTGATCCTATTATGTACTTTTATCACTACAGACTTATGAAGTGAAGAGTGTGCTGGGAAAGAAGGTGGGGCCATTAAATTGTTTCGTCCAGACCATAACCAACCACCCGACAAGCTGCATGGGATTGGAGGAAATTGAACTTCTACAAGCCGGAAGAAACTAAGATGATGACTGCCGGTTGCCATAGTATCAATGAACTTTGCAGTGTGGTTACAAAGTTGTTTTGTAGTTACTTGTTAACTAAAGACCAAGAGGATTTATATTAATTACAAACAGGATCTTGAAATGTCACTTATTTTCAATTTCTCTGGGAACACGTTTGGAAAATGAGTCATTAATTATCAAAATACACTTTTTTCTACACAATCATTAATTGTGTCATCATCATCATCTACAGTCGTAGCAATATATTGGTGGAGTTTAAATATTGCACTAAAAGCTGAAGTTTCTAAATGGATTTTGATGTTTTAAACATGGAAGGAAAATTAAAATTTTTAAATGTCATAGTTGGAACAACCTTTTACTGGGATTCTAAGGATTTTTTTCACCTTGTAGTGCTTGATTTAACATTATCTCCTGTAGGTGCATGCACTTCTACAATAAATATCCAAAGTTCAGTAACTTTGTTATTTTTAGGAAACATACTGAGAAACTGTGGCAAAGGTGAAGCTGTTTCCCATAAATTGTAGATAGTTAACCAGTATGCTATCATATATCTACTGTATTATAATGGAAGTGTTAGATAAGAAGTTTTACAACCAAATCATACTGTGAAATATGGACCCAGAACAAAGATTAGGTAGATTTAAATACCTCTGTGAGATTCTAAATCTCCCCAACTACTGAGAATCCCTTTTACCTAAATGGAAGATAAGAATATGGTTATCTTGCTCTTCTTTTGTGGGCAGTGATTTAAATTGAATGTGGAGCCATGAACTATTCTTTGCACCCTAAAAAGATTTTTTGTATTGCTTGCTTTCCAACAATGTGACCAGAAACATCACATTACTAATTTGGGAGAATTTATCTATTTTACCTTTGGAAAAGTCAATGCAACAGCTAGGCCCAAAGTGTCCTTTTCAGGTTTGGATGTATTAGGCCAAGAAAAGGTAGAATTACTGTTTCCTCCCACCCCACCCCCCTTTTTACCTTCTGCCTTCTTTCTTTAAAGAAACTGGTTGGCCTTTTTTCATCCTTTTTAAATTTCACCCAGGCCTTAAAGATCCCTAAATGTAGTCAGGTTTTCTGCTAGAATAAACTAGACACCAGAACATGCTTTTAATCACCTGAAGGTGATTACTACATATTTTATACTTTTAAGTTAATTTGCAGTTTTTTCAGAAAACCTGAGGCAACGTAAACAAAGATGGGCAGATGAAATCTACCAATAATTAAAAATTATCTTGGCCAATAACCTCCTTCCTACCAGCACTGGAACAGCTAAGTAACTGTAGGGTCACCTAATTCGATTCTCACCTCCCTTCTAAGCCCTTCCCTGGCTCGATTTTTTATTAAAATACGAAAACTGTGTTTTGTGGCCAGTAATCCTCCCCCCACTCCCACAAACACACCCAGAAGCCGAGGGGAGATGAGCTTGGTTTATCTAAAAAGGGGTTGGTCACTCACTCCGAATAGATTAAGTAACTTCTGGGAAAAAAAAGAAATATCGTCACAGAATTAAGCTAGTTCATGGGTAGACTGCCACCCTGCAAAGTATTTTTCTCGGTCTGTTAAAAACAAATATTCCAGGGTACATTTGAATATAAATTTATAGTGACACATGGCTTATTTTCGGTATGTAATTAAAATAAAAAGTTTTCCAATACTCTTAAAAGTGTCGATGGGTATAGACTTGGGGGATTTGAAATACCAACTATAGATTCCCCTTCTTGCTAATAATAATACTCTAATTTCAACCGCCAGAGCAAGGAAGTTTGAACTACTGAGCCTTCCTGGTGTTGACTCACTCATACAAGCCACGGGGGAATGAACTTTTACACCATGGAGTCACGTGAGCTACCTGCATGTTGGTGCAAGCAAGTTTCTCAGTAGTATGTCCCAGCCTCTCCCTAGCTGCTGCCAAAGGTGTGGGTCCACCTGTGGCCTTTCCCTACGAGCCTTTTCTTACAAGGTCACTGTGAATACAAGAAGCAGGAATGATTTAAAATGCTTTTTTTTATTCTTAGAAATACTGTAAAAATTAATATAAAAAGTTGAGCATGCTCAGGCTTTTCCTCTTACCTACAATACAAAGGTTGGTTTTTTTTAATCTTTTTTTTTTTACAAATGTACCATAGCTGCATCAACAGAAGTAAGATGTAGAAAAAAAAAACAACAAAACGAAAGCTACCATTACAAAAATAATTTAAGGAAAACATTTTATAGCTTCTCTTGCAGTTTGGTTGTGTGTTAATCCAGAATGTAGCTTCATCCAGCTACTGCGTTCAAAAGAAACAAAACCACCAACAATTTCACGTTTCTTGCTGCATGCCACAGAACAGGCTGCGAAAACACGTAGGGTTCTGCTACAAGGTGATCTTTGGAGTCTCTGAGGTATTGATAGTTTGACTAATCGTCTCTGTCCCTCTTCCCACCCGCTCCTCTTCCCCGAGCCGCCCCCCCCACCCCGGCCCCGTTCCCTGTCGCCCTCGACAGCTCCCGACACCCCCACTTCGGTCCCAGTTACCGACAGTCAATGCCCGAGGAGGCGGTGCCGGCTTGGAGAAAGGACGAACTGGGCAGCTGTTTAAAAAACTGTCTCAGGCTCGATAAGTCCCTGGTCAGCTGCTCGATCTTCTTGTGCAGTTTCTCGTTCTCGGAGGAGAGCTCCACCAGCTTCTGCTGCATCTCCTGGTTGCGCTTTTTGGCCTTGTCCCGGCTCTTGCGCACCGCGCTGTTGTTGCGCTCCCGCCGCTGCCGGTACTCGGGGCTGAACCGGTCCAGAGACTTCTTGCCGCCGCCGCCGCCGCTGCCGCTCTTCTCCTTGCCCAGATGTGGCGGCGGCGGCGCTGGCGCCGCAGGGGAGCGGCCGCTGGAACAGCTGGAGCTGGAGCTGCAGCCCGACGGCTCCGGGGAGGTGGGCGGGGTGGGCTGGCCGGCCGCCGATAGGTTCATGATGGTCTGCGCGCAGGTGGCTATCTGCGAGGGCAGCAGGGACGACGACATGTCGCTGTCGCTCCAGTCGGGCTCCTGCTTCAGGGCGCTCGGCGGGGACGCGCTGGTGCCCGCGCCCAAGAGGCTGGCCATGGCGCTGGCGAAGTCCTTGTGCGCCGGGGGGTGGGAGTGCGCGGGGTGCCCGGGCAGGTACTCGTAGTCCCCGGCGCTGGCGTGGCTGCCCGCCCCGCCGCCCCCGCGCTCGGGCTTGTGATTGCTGTTGAAGAGGTCGGCGAAGAGCTCGTCGTGGCACAGCTCCAGGTTGGGCACGGAGGACATGGAGTCTATGTAGGAGCTGAAGTCGATGGCGCTCTCGTCGTCGTACATGGCCGGTGCGGCCGCGCTCAGCTCCGCCAGGTTAGCACCGCCCCCGCCGCCGCCGCCTCCCGCTCCTCCTCCCCCGCTGCCGCTGCCGCTGCCGCCGTGCTCCTCGCAGCCGCTCAGGGGGCCCCGGCCTGGCTTGCAGGAGGCTCCGAGCCCACCGGGGCCACCGCCGCCTTTATTGGTCTCGTAGAAGTTGGCCGGTTCCATGGACCAGTTCCTGTAACATGCCGGGCTGTCGAGGCTGTAGAGCGCGGTGCTCATGGAGCCGGGCGGGCACCTGCGAGCCCCGCGCTGCGCGCGCCTGAAGGACGGGAGTCCGCACCTGGGGCTGCTGGAGCTGCGGGGCTGGGGCTGGGACAGGCACCCGGGGCCGGCACCCGCTGCGCACCGGGCGCGGGACTCTGGGACTGGCCGCTCGCTCGCTCACTCGTTCGCTCACTCGCTGGCCCCGGGACTCCCTGGCTCACTCCCTCATCCCCCACCGGCTTCCTTGGTTTTTTCCCCCTTGCTTCCCACGGCCCAGATGCTTGTCAGACTCTCAACGGGTCGGTGCAGCCCAAACCAGTCCCTTTTCTACCCCCGGGGTTGTGACGTAAGGCCCCGCCCCCGGGTCGGCGCCCGGTGTTATCCGAACCCTGGGAGAGCTGGTGCGGGGGCGGGCGAGCGGGAAGGGGCGGGATCGGCGGGGACGGGCTGCCCCAGCCCCCTCTGGCTCCGGACTGGGCCGGCCGCCCGAGGGGGTACGCTGGGCTGCCCGGGAAGCGAGCGCCTTCGGAGCTGCGTGCGGGGCTGCGGGCGCCAGCCCACCTCGGAACCTCGGGGGCCACGTGGGAGCAGGGAGCCGTGGGGCAGAGGAGGCCGGAGCTGCGCGCTCTGCCTCCTCCTGCTGTCCTCCTTTCCTTCCCGCCCTCCCCCACCCCCTTCGGGATACGGCCCGGGCCTGGCTGCTGGGAAGGACCCTCCCTCTGCCAGTTTTTCAACGTGCAGGACTCAGTGTTCTCATCCCCTCCTTCCTGTTTATGGGGCTTTGAACCACCTCATTCCTCAGGTGAATGGAGGGGAAGCCAAACCACTGGAATGGTCCGAGGGCCCCGGTGCTCCCTCTTCCTGGGAGAGCCAGGTCACTGGGCCATTTAGATAAGGGGTGAAGGGGTAGTGGCCATTTTTCCACGTGATTCCCTCCCAGGAGGTAAGGGACTAGAGGATGAAGTGACAGACAGCCCCCAGGAATTAGCGCACGTCCTAGGGGGAGGGAAAAGTGAGAAAGAGTGCGCTGGCACCGACTCATTCGCTGCCTAATGAGGCTTTAAATGCAAGCAAATGTTTCTACTGTGCGTAAGGTTACAAAGACACAGATAACAAAATAGTCTCTTGAGGCAAGAAATTGAGTTTTGTTATTTGTGTATCTATGCACGTTACATTTGACCCATAAGCCAGCGTCTCTTCGTGCCTCGTACGGCTGATGATATAACGAAAGGCTTCGTGCAGTTTAGACGGGGCACACACTTGAAGCATGTACACGGACTCTCCCCTTGCGCCCCCACCCCCAGCTTCAATGAGGACGGGAAGCTGTTAATATTTTTCAGTCACAGCATTATCGCCGCTGCCGATCACGTTTCCAGAATCATGCAGACCCTGCTGGAGCCTGAATTCCCTGACCAGAATGTGTTTAAATTTGTAAACAATCTCTTCACATCCGGTCTCCTGTTGCATGCCGCAGCTGGTGCGCAAAAGCCCTCTGACATTGCCTGCCATCTACATCGCTATCAGAGAAACTTACTCCCCTTTGCTTAACTATGCTTCAGTCTAAATGACACACTCAGGTTGGAATCATTATCAACCGAGGAGAGGAAACTGGGCAAGTCCAAGAGTCACAGCCACTACCAGTTAGTTTTCGGGGGTGGGGGGAGAGGAGACAATGGTGGAGGCTGCTGTGACACATACACACACTTCTGTCAGCTAGACAACAGCAGTAACCGCCCATCTTTGTCAGCCAGCTGGGAGAGAAAAGACAGATGTCATGGCAGGGGGAGGGAGGAAGGGAGAGGAGCTTCCTAAGGTTCAGCCAAGATGTTTGCAGATAGTAAGATGAGCAGGGGCCATTCCACCGCTCCATGCTCTCACTAAAGCAATGGCTTCTGCGAAGTTTTAAAGCTTACTGCAAATAGGTGTTTGTGACTTTTTTTTAATTTTGAAGTCTCTTCAACATACCTCATATTTGCCTTAGCAAAGTTTAGCAGAAATATTTCAGGAAGTTCTGGGCAAGGGGAAACGTGCTTAGTCGCGTCATTTAATTAAGCAAGAGAATATTCTAACCATTTTCCCACTTAGGTGTCCTGACATCTGGAGAGTAGTCTCAAAGTGCACACCCGAAATGTTTCAGCAGGGGTACAAGCTTAGGTCCTTTCAACCACACTTGCGCTGTTTCCAAGATGACAGTCACAAACCTTGTTATGTCTCAGGTTATTATACATGTAAATCAATGCACCCCATATGCAAATTCTCTTCAGCACAATGCAAGCTTCTATTTGCTTTAAACTCTTGACCAAGACAGTTGAACCATGAAAATGAGCTCATCTTGCCATCAGCCACCCCCCTCCACTTGGCTGCCTGGTTGTTCCTTATGTGTATCTCTCCACCTCCACAAGCATGGGGCCTTGCTTCAGGAAGTGGAGGCCATGTAGTTCTGTGTGTCCCAATAACCACAAAAGTGCTATTATAACTAATAGGCTCGCATAAATTAAATAGAAAGGCTTACAAAAATTATGGCTTTAGAAAGTTCTATGTTTCTCAGCTGTTCTTATGTCTACTTCTTGGCAGAAAGAACATCCATTTTTGCATGTTAATGAACATGTTTCTGGGCATGAGGCTACTGAAGAGTGCCACCTTGTGGTTTGGTCTTGCATCAGCCTTATTAAGGCCTTTTAATTCCCCACCTCCAATTATTCTAGTAAGACATTCTTTTGAATTGATAGCATCTTTTAGTACAGATCTTGAAAATGTTTGTCATGATTACCTATTATCCAGTATCTTCACTTTCACAGCTCACTCATTCTGCAGCTGTCATGCAAACCTGTACCCCCCTGACATTCAGACCAAATAACAAACCCTTCAAAAACTAAAGTAGTTTTAAACACTCAGTTTCTCAGGATAATTCAGTTTACAATTTATTACATGCATACTATGTACAAGGCTAGGCAGCTAGGTGGCACAATGGATGGAGTGCTAAGCCTGAAGTCAGGAGGACCTGAGTTCAAATGTGGCCTCAGATACCAGCTGTGTGACCTTTGGCAAGTCACTTAACCCTATTTGCCTCAGTTTCCTCATCTGTAAAGTGACCTAGAGAAGGAAATGGCAAACCACTCTAGTATTTTTGCCAAGAAAACCCCAAATGGGGTCATGACAAGTAAGATACACTAATTGACAAAAAATGTACAAAGCATGCTAGACATGAAGGAGCACAGAAATGAATAAAAAAGGGGTCTCTGTCCCCACAGAGCTTACGGTTTAGTTGAGTAGATTTGTCATAGGTCAAGGATCTGTGATTTCTTTCATGTGGAATTTCACTTAGCAGATAAATATTAGAGAGCTAACAAC